TCTCTCTCTCTCTCTCTCCCTCCCTCCCTCTCTCACTCACTCTCTCTTTTTCGCTCTCGGTGATCACCAAGGCGTGGTACCATACGGCGTGACCGCGGTGTGGCACGGACGCACGGTGTACGCGATCCTGCGCCACTACTCGCAACCACGCCTCGAATAATGTCTACAGGATATCTCAGAAGTCGCGCACTTCCTCCGCACCGGAGATACAATTCATTGCTAAACTGTCTCAATGTTGAGAAACGTACAGATAAGGAAAGTTCGCTCGCGAGAGTTCAACCCTCTGATGCACTTCAAGGATTAAAGTTATTCCTGCAGCTCCTCTTATCGCGCACATGCAACTACAGCGATATCGGGTTACCGAGAAATTATATTCTGGTTTATATTTATCGTGTTATACTCAAGAGCAATATGTAATTGCGTCGTGTATAAAACTTTCAAACGAGGTGATAATTGCATCGTACATCTGAGGGTTAAGAGGCCATCGGATTGTTTGGCATCAAAAAATTGTACATGTACTGCCGGATGTTGTCGAGCGGTGCCAGATACTCTTCGCAAATAAGGAGTATAATAACGATATAACAGTATAATCGAGAGAAAAATTATTTACAATGGAAAGAAAAATTAAATCCCCAGTGATGTTAAATGTTAATGCATCATAATAATAATAATATAATTAATATATTATAATAGTAAGTATTAATATATTAATATTGCAATAATTAACAAACATTAAAGAAATATCTAAGTATAATAATGTGTTACACTAATAAGAAATAATAATCAAATTAATAAGTGTTAAAAATAGCAAATAGTGTAAAAAGAGAAAGGCGAGAGAATACAGTGCTAATGTAGAGTTCCAATATTTCAAGCGGATTTCCATTTGAAACATATTCTCATTCATATTTATTAAAATCCAGAATAACATTTTACATTTGAGGCGTCCTGTACATATCTTTACGGATAAATATGTACGTACGTAATGAATGATACCGAGGTAAACCACGATATTGTACTTTGAAAATATGGTTACCTCCCGCATTGACATAACGCGTTTACTTAATTCTTAAGCAAGGAATTAAATCTTTCTCGTGTCTGAAGTAATTCTACCTCGGAAAAGCGTTCAAAGAATAAGAAACTTCTTTTAGAGTTCATATGAGAAATATAACTTCCTTGATATATTACAATACAAAGAAAATTTAATATTAATTTTAATAATTTTAAGATAACTATAAGGATTTCCGATTTAAATTTGTGTATGTATGCATTTTCTTAGATGATATATTTTATTTCAAAAATTCCTGAAATATGTGAAGCTTTAAGATCTCCAGAATTTATGGAAAAATTAATATCATTGATTACATAATATCACAGAAGGATCTTAACACATTCATAAAATAAAATTTGAGACTATTCGTTAAATGTCTAAGTCATGGAATTTTGCAAATTTACAAATTACGATGATCATAATTACATATCTCTTTAAATCGCGATTCTTCGTAGCTTTTTTTCTTGTTACATACTATCCTCTCCTTTCATCACAACGTCTGAAAATGTAAGCATTAAAGCCACTTGTCCATTGCCAAACGACATCGCGGGAAAGCTCATCGTGCTGGCAAATATAGACGGATTTAGCGGTACCGGAGCGAAGTGGGTTAACGTGTTTGCACCAGGGTCGGGTTTCGCAAATCTCGAATAGAACCGTCGAACGAGTCAAACCGAATACGAATCTGTCTCGGATACACGTACATTTCGCGTACCTCGGTCTGGACAGATCAGGGTCGAGGACATATTGGGCTTGGAAAAGATCAGTTTTGTTTGTTATACTTATAACAGCGTGCATGAAACGACGTGCTGATTGGCAGTGTGTCAAGGACATCTTTGCTTCTTTTTTGGCCGTGAAAATGATTCGAAATACTTGCCGTAGTACTTGACATAGAGCCTACAACAAGACTCGCAAGTCTTATGTCGTAAGAAATTAACCAATCACAATCGATTATTTTTCTTACATTCGACTGTGTAATTAATTAAAAAATTGAAAGTTAATTCTCACATACAGTACAGAAGATGGCAGCAACATTGCAACGTTTCCTACGTTACTGCAATATTGCTGGAACGCAAACTGTGCTGTATGGGTTTCTTATGACTTAGAGATTTACGTCTCCTATTATAGACTCTGCATAATTTCAAAATTTTCAAACGATGATAAGCGATCTCCTCTACAATCCAATAAGCACCAACAGTATAAACATAACAATATTATAACACGCAACAAGCTATAACAGCTGTTACGTACAATTTGTGTTATATTACATTTATATTATTAAGTGAGAAACTATAATTATATATTGTTGTAATTTTACTGTTAGAACGGTGAGCAGCCTTTGCCTCGAATAAGAAAGTAGGAGTATCGTTTGGAATGTCGTTAATGAATTGCGGCATGGCTTTCAGGCAGAAAATGCAGTAAGTTTGCACTACCGGCAACGTTTGCACTACCGGCACAAGAAAAAATCGACAAGGTGAATGAATGTATGCGTAAATATACATACATTCCTTCAGGAAAGTGATTAAAAGCTATCACTCCGACGATACCACATAGGCCAGTCTCCCCTTCATTCACACTCATGACTTCTGCGTTATTTATATAACATTTATCGAAAGATTAATACTCGGCTCGCTTATTGGATGCGTCCAACTTGATTCCATCGAATTCGTAACACACCTACTCTATGCGTTTCGGTAAATAGATTTTTTCGCGTTTCTACACAATTTCAAATTTTGCTGTAGAATGTCCCGAAAGCTAAGTTCAGGACTCTAATTCATTAACTATCAAAGTTCATCAAAAACTAAACAAAGCGCGAAACACATAAAAAAAACGTAAGTCAGTAAGACGCAAGCAGTAAGCAAAACGGTCCAATCACAATAGAGAACTACTTTACATTCTGTACTGTGATTGGCCGATTCTCTTACTGCATCTTAAGTCTTATTGCTTATGTTTTTTTTTATATGCTTCTAGTTTATTATCTATTGCAATAAGCCGCTTTATTTTCCGTAATTTTCAAGTCGAAGAGGAAGACTTTAGAGGAAATAGTTTCTTTATTTTCAAGCTTGTGATATTTTTCTGTTTTTTTTTTTTCATAGCCCATGCATGCATCGCGACGCGATGGATCTATAAACGCGACGATAGAGAGACAAAACAAAAGCAAGACCGAGAGTGAAGAACGAGAGATGAAAGAAGATGTGGCACGAATATATGCGGGAGGGAATGAAATCGGCGTGCCATGTCATTGCGTGGTAACAACCTTTCGTTAAGGCGATTAGAGTCGCGCGACTCTCTTCGTCGGTCGGGCCTGTTATCGCGCTTGTCTCGCACACGACGCCGTCGACGGTCGACCATGTTATTTATAGAGAGAAAGTCTCAAGCGTTCGAGCGGCGAGAAAGGCCATTCGAAATTTTGCGAGGTTCGCGATTTCACGATCATTCTTCGATCGATCGCGCAGTGTAATTGCGAAGATAATGACGAGATCAAAGTTTTGTTCTTCCTAGAGCTTTCGACTATGCTCAAGGGGAAGCTCGTTGCACTTGCCGGTTAATAATAGCTCGTGGGAGCGTGGTACTATTCCGTCTGTGCGCGCGCGAGACGGGGTACATAAATAGATAGAACAGTCGTAAGTCTAGAGAGTGGAAGCAATGAGTTTTCATTTTGTAATGTTCAATGAGCTCTCGCGTTTTAATGTAATTTTTTTCTTTTTAACTGTATGTTCGAAACAAAAAAATGTAGTTAAATATGGCAAGTTAGTATACTGTGTTTTAATAATTTTTTGTTCTTTTTGAATTTATTTTTATTTATAAGAAAAAAATATGCAGTTAAAATATGTAGCAAACTGATATTTTAATTCTAAATTAAGCTTCTATTTTATGATAGGAAAAAGAAGTTAAATGTTTTCATGTTGTAGAAATAAAGATTTTAATTAGTTAGTAAAAATAATATATTAAATAATAGTTTAATATAAATTTTTTGTTATTTGCATTATAATATAAAAATATTTTTCATTATTTAATTATTGTTTCCTGTCAAAACACGTTTATTGAACTTGAAAATAGTATTCACGAGCATACTTGCAATGAAATATGCTTCATTAAAATTCAAAAATATTATAATCCCTTAAGAAGCAGCATCTTGCTGACGTTACTGCTTATTGCATTAAATTTAAGTATGATACATCGGTATATAACTGCATAATTCTCGTTTCATACTTTGTACGTGCATGGATCAGCCCATAAAAATACTTGCTATTTCAAGCACGCGTAAGGAGTGTAAGGATACGAGCACTCGAATAAATCCATTCAGCTTAAAACGAGTATGGCGGTGAAAGTTGTCGAAGAATCAAATTTACAAAACGTGCTTTGAAATCTGATACGTTTACGTGTTCGATATAAATATTTTAAATAAAAATTTCTATTTTAATAAAATTATTAAAAAAACGAATGTTTTGCGTATACAGAACGAACGGTTTTTGTTGAAGTACTTAAAAATTTAACTAAATACAGATCTAAAAATAATTCTGTTCGGATTGAAATAATTATCGGATGCTAAACTAGTTTCTAGAATGTTAAAACTTTTTTATATAATTATCAATGTTTAAGCGTTCTACATAATTATTTTAATAACTAATATAGAATTATTTTCAGATCTATATTTAGTTAAGTTTCTAGTTACTTCAGCGCAAAACTATTCTTTCCGTGTCATTCATAAAAATGTTCTTATAAGTAATGTAAATTTAATTATAAAAACTATGTGCCTACGTAGGTTTCAGTACTATCGCGAACGTTTAGTGCTTATTCAGCAGATTCGTTTAAGCAGCATTTTATCGCGCAAATCACCTTTTTCTTTCAGGCCATCGCTCATTGCGAAAAAATTAGCGTTAAAACTCGGCGAAGTATTCTTACACGAAAGAAAAGATAAGGGGAGAATCGGGGCTTACCGTGTAGATTGCGTTATCCAACGCTCAGCGTCGTTCGGTTCTGCTGCCCACATGCTATCATTCTCCCGATTGTTTTTTTCTCCCGCACGCGCGCGCTCTTGTTTCCTCGTTCTCAATTTGAGAATCGTCGCACAGCTTCTCTCCTCACGTCCTCGCGTTTATTCCTCTCCGTTCCCACGTCCCTGGCGACTCACGTGCCTCGCGAGATGCCTCCTGCTCGTGGTCTCGCGTGATCTACGTCTCGGCGAAGTCGCCGAGATGAGAAAAACTGGAGGAGTTTGTACAGCTTCGTACATGATTTCGATATCGAGACGAGGGGGCATGACCTCATCGTCGATCGATTCACCAATAGGGTGCATCGTTGGCCAGGTGCTGCCAAGATGCGAACTCGCTCCAGGTACGCATATTTAACCTGGTAGCTTCCGCGATCTGCGGCACACTGCCGTCCCTCGTTCCGTTGGAGAGCCCGTCGCATTTCGTCGTCTGGCTGTTATCACATCGTGCGGCTGGTACTCGAGGCTGAAGCATCGGTATAAGGTGTCTCAATTCTCTGCGCATCGTTATAATGAATTAAAAAAAAAAAAACTCGGAATTTATTTGACCTACCAATTTTTCTACACAAAAGAGAGGAAAAATTTTATGGGATATATATATATATATATATATATATATATATATATGTGTGTGTAACTAGTTTCTGAGCGTTAACAAAATAAAATAAAAATCTAAAAACATTTAGTACTGCGCAAAAAATGCAATGTGCGTGTATATTATAGAGAATATTTAGTCATGAATATAATATCTTTGAAAATCAATAAACCGTAGATTGTCGCTACTTGATAAATATTTAATGAAGATCCGAAGATATGTACGATTGTAAATAAAATCACGTAAGTTTTACGAAATATGTCAGTCAGTCAGTCATGGATAGTGTGCAGCGTCACAAGGACTGCAAATAGAAGTTACGTCACGGATGTATTTAATATTCTTTACATATTAAGAGATTTTAAATAATCCTTTTAAAATACTTACCTCCTGTTTTTTGCTAACCAGATAGTTTTTGCCCTCGTTGTTGTCCCACGACTCTCTGCCGTCGGTGCGATATCTCACGCAGAACTCAATGACGTTCGATGCCACCGGCAAGGTGAGGCGGAAGCGGAAGGTGTCGTACAGGATAAGGGAACTCGATGACCCCGGTTGCGCTACGTACGTGCAGTGCACGTCCTCGTGGGTGGACCAGCTGTCGCTACTGGCCCTCACCACGACCTCCTTGTCGTAAGCCAGATTCCGTACCTTCACTGTGCCCACCAAGCACTGCTCGGACTCGCGCACGATCACGTTCTCCAGGCTAACGCTATTTTGATCGAGCTTACGCCGGAAGGCGAGATAGTCGCTCGCCGGTTGCGGGAAAGTCACCTGCCACGGTGGCGTAATATCCTGTGTCGCTTCTTGACTTTGATCCTTTGATATGCCAAGCAAACCAGCCACGTAAGCTGTGCTCCATAATGGTGGTACGTTGCTTGGTTCCGACATGACGCGAACCTGCCAAATCAGATGTAATATTGAAATATTAGAATTGTAGAACGTCGTAACAAATTCAAAGAAAGAAAAATGTTAAATGGAAACGACTGTTGGATGATAATATCACTTATATTTGCTACAACATATCTCAAAAACTAACATTTTAATATAATATATTAATATATTAATATATTAATATATATTATTCTTTTAAATATTTTGGCATATTAAAAAATAAGACAAAAACAAGACTCTCAGTATTAAAGTAAATATGTGTGACCTCAAGGCAAATAGGAGTCCAAGAATAAATTAACGTGTTATAACAATAAAAATAAAAATGGAAAAGCAAATGTTAGAATATAATTAACTGTTAATAAAACAAAATCTAATCGCAATCGCATTACATGTTTCGGCTGCAAGTTCGAGCCCTCCTCAGATGTACAAAAATGTTTTATGCACACGATACATATCATTAAAGTTAAATAAATAATAAAAAGGTACTACCACTTGGGTTTTACTTTTAATTTGATAGAATTTAATTTGGCGCCTGTTATTGATGTCAAATCTTTTATACAAATGATATATATCATTAGAATTAAGTTGAATAACAAAGATAGATATAATAATATACTATTTGAGTTTTATAATAGACATTGTTAAGGTTAAGTAAATAATTAAACATAGTAGAATTGAATAACTTGGTGCCCGTTAATATCAAATTTTTTATACAAATAATAGATATCATTGGAGTCAAGTAAATAATAAATATGGTAGAATTTAACTTGGTGCCTGTTATTGATATCAAATCTTTTATACATTCTAATGATACATATCATTAGAGTTAAGTAAATATTATGCACTACTTATTTACTTATTACTTACTTTTACTTTTTAATTTGATAAAATTTAACCTGATGCCTGTTGTTGACGTCAAATTTTTTATACAAATGATACGTATTATTAGAATTAAGTAAATAACAAGGATAAGACCACTTGTGTTTTACTTTTTGAAAGTTATATCATTTAGTAAAGATAGTATCACTTGGATTGTACTTTTTAATTTGGTACATCAGTTTTTTTTTAATAACGTATCATTTAAGTTTTGTCATATTTAGATTTATTCGAAGAACGTAGGATATCTTAGCACCTTTTTAATCTTTTTTTAAAAGGGTATAATACTAATGCAATGAGCGCTAGCGCTAGTTTTGCGATCTAATAAAAAACATTTCAAGTAATATCTTTATCCTTTTTTAACCTATAATTAACTACGACTGCGCATGTACAATATCGTATATTGCACATGCACAATTATAGCTAAGTACAGATTAGAAAAGAGTAAATATACATATCACTTCGAATGCTTCCTCTCGAATCATTTTTAACAAAAAGCATTTAAATTATGTGCCTCTTGGCATTTATTTTTGATAAAAATCCCGTTCACACGCTTATAATACATTTTATTCAATATATATGTATATGATATGTAAATTGTCAAAAAGCTGGTGACTACCGACGCACATGTTAAATGCGTTATTCTTAGGCCTCTGGCCAAATGTTACCGCGCTACTTCATTAAAAATAACTTTAAACAAAATTCATAATTCACACAAAAGTAAAGTAAAGAACGTTATTTAACTCTTCACTGGTGGTATTGGTTTTGCTTATCTCGTTATTTGCTTTTCGAAAGTAAACTAGACGCACGTCTACTTCGTGAATGCCATAGAGGCTGATCTAAGTAGCACACAGCATTTACAAAGCGTTAACAAAGCGTTAACAAAGCGCTAAAAAAGCAATTGTAATAATAAAAAAAGTGAGACATTATTCTACAAGTGTAATGTGTGAGCAATAAAATTTATCTGTACTAAAGAAGAAAATCGATCTCGCGCCATATACATATCTGATCTCGATAAAAGCAAGGAGAAAATCGCAAAAATACCTGTGTGAGCGGTCGGCCGCGATCATCGGCGAACACGACCCGTTTCTTTTGTTTTCCATCGTTATTTCGCAATGAGTCCAGGGGCAAGGATCCCGTAGAGAGGCACGGTCTGATTCTAGGTGGCACCGATCGGCTGGTGATCGTGGGTGCCGTGACCACCAAGGGACCGTACAGCAGGGAACTGTACACCGGGGGGCTGTGTAAAATCAATTCGGCAGGCATCGCTATCGAACACATTTAGACCTGCAAAAAAAAAGAGGTTCACTTTTTATTGCCATTGTCATATATAGCCAAAACGATACTGATACTAATAATTATTATTCTTAGAATATAAAGTATACTCCGCTTTTATATGGTCTTTAAAGTTTTAAATTCGAGGAAAGTTTCAAAATGTAAATTTTATGTAAAATTAGATATCTGAGTTATATAAAAATAATATAAAGTGTCTATATTTATGATATATTTTACATATAACAATTTGTCCTATGTTTTCTAAGCCACTGGCGGAATTAAACGTATAATTTGTGTCGGCAATCTCTTTTCCGTACACTTCCTACTTATTCTTTCAGAAATATAACTGTAGAGTTATGGCAAAAGCGACAACCGCTAAGAATTACACAACGAAAAATCGGACTGGAAACATTATGCTTAATAGTCTCTTCATTGGCACTCTGGCGCCTGAAATTTATTGATGTCGAGACAACATTAACATTAATTTTCACCACGTGGGCGAAATCTATGGACGATATATCATTCAAAGTTGTCAGGAACGTCTTTCGGCTGCCAAAAATTTCGTCAACCATTCGAATCATCTCCGGATCACGTGGATCTGTATAGAGATCTCAAAACCATTAAAAATATTTATTATAGCTATATCGACTGAATGCCAATTAGTCGCCGATGTGCACAATAGTTAATCTATTGTATATACCATCGATTTACTAATCGCATTCTTGCAGTGACAAAAATAATCGTGTTTTTATATATTATCAAGAAAAAATTTTGTTTGCCTTAAAAATTTATGATAAGCGCGTATAACTTAAATTAATGTATTTGGGGAAAATTATTAATAATTATCTGCTTTATCAAACGTGGCCAAATACGACGCCGCCAATCACAACTTTATTCAAGTGTATTACGGTATCTTGTAAAATGATCTATTTTATGTATTACGTATGTACTGTATATACATTTTTATAAGATACAGTACGATAGCACGAAAGTGAACGGTACAAGTGATTAAAGGTTATCATAATCCGGTAACATAAGCAAGATTTATTACAACTTATTAATGAGTTTTAGATAAAAATGATATATAGAGTGTAATGAAATCATAGATTTCTTCTTAATAAGCATTTGATGGAGAACACAACTTGTCAAAATAATTTTAAGAATTTTTCTAATATTTTTCTATTAAATAATATATAATATACTAAATAATAGAAATATGTCATATTATATACAACACGGCATAGATTTAGGTAATATATTATCATTAGATAATATTTAATTTATGTATATATTCCTGTATGAGAAAACTGATGCTTTTCATTTGGTGACACAAGTCGACACATGCATTCTATCTTTTTTGACATTTCAGTGAATAACAGAACGACTTGTGTCAACTTGTGTTATCAAATGGAAAGCATACATTATCTTTATTTTGCTGAGTACAAAGTTATTGTAATGTAGAGCAATTTGTGTAGATTCTCGAGCTGATTGAGGATAAAAATTGTGTTTAGAACTCGCTAAAACTTTTACGTATCTGTGTACATAATTTTGCCATTGATATACATTTATATGTTGGCGCAAATATGCACTACATGTATGCATAATCAAGTTACTCGCGGAGTAGAATTACGACTCCCAGGCGCGACGAACCAGCGAATGGCTCTTCCTTTTCTGGAGACCGGTTCCGGGTGAACCGGGTCCGAGACACGACACGCATGTACATACAGTAGGTACCAGACCGAAACCGAACGGCAGCGCGGAGAATCGGCAGACCATGAATCGCGTGGGCTCAATTTTAGATTTCAGCGTGTCGTTATCTTCTAAATAATTTAAATCAAATATAACATAAAACATGTTTGTAAAATTAGTTTAGACATAAAATAATTAGTTTGCAACAGGTTGCGAACTAATAATGATAGCAGAATTAAGTGCATCTCTAAACATTTGTACGAATATATAATGTTCGTTTCTGCCAGCAAAGCAAGAAAGGTGCTTACTTGATACTAAAACTCAATCAAGTTCGGCTACAAAGGCCGAACTAAAGACCGAACTTAACTCAGGATAATTATATAGTTGGAACGTAATGATTTGTGTCTACATTTAGTGGCTATGCATTTCCACTTATTAAGTTTAATTTAAATATATGCTACATGTGCTTCATGTTTATACATTTGAAAATACATTTAAAAGTAACATGCAGAAATATAATATAGTTAGAATATGTTTTGATTAATAC